GTACATTTCATTTAATGACACTTATAATATATTTGATTGGCTATATTTTTCATGAAAAATGTTATTTTCCACTCAAATTCTTGCTTGTTGGGTGTTTGGTTGACAAATTTTTCATGAAATATATTTTTCAACTTTTATTCGTATGACCATATTTTCTTCAAAAACAATGTAAACATTTTTTTTAAGGAGGATGATTTTTATTTTTCAAGTAATTCACTATTTTTTTCTTTCTCTCATCTACTTACCAATAAAACTTGAGCAAGTTTAATACTTTCCATATTGAAAAAAAATATTTAATTAATAATTTCCATACAAATAAGTTCTAGGCCATTGAATTGCATAAAATTTATTTTTATTTTCATGCAAATTTCATGTTAGCAATCAACAATGGAAAATGTTATTTTTTTACTCAAATTTCTACTTTTAGGGTAATTGAAATTTTTTCAAGTTTTTTTTTTTTCAAAAGTTGGTCATGTGACTATATTTTCTTTAAAAATAAGAAAAATAATTTCATTGGACAGGGGCAGGTTTTTATTTTCGAAATAATTCACTCTCTTTCTCTCTCACACACATCTAATCTACTCTCTCATCTACCTATCAATAAAAGATGGACAAATATAACATTTTTAATCTGAAAATTAAATCAATGATATACATTTAATTAATAATTTTCATACAAATAAGTTATATTTTCTTTCTATGCAAATTTCTTACTTACAATCAAACATACATTTCCCCCTTATTTGATTCCTATTATTTCTAAAATGTATATTTCTCTCTTCTTCTCTATTACACATTTTTCAATAAAATAATATTATACGCAAATTCAAAACTTTTCTTTATTTTTTAACGACAAGTTTTCTATCAATTTATTATTTCAAAATACATTCTTAACCATTTAATGAGCTCAAACATGCGCTTAGTATTATGCAAGCTAGTAGCATTGGGTAATGCGACATGTACATTAGAGTGTTTGTAATGATGTTCATCCTTTCATGTGGAAGGAGGTTCACTTCCAATAAAATATAATTTATTCAAAGTAGGTACCTCTCAAAACGAGGAGGATAAACATCATTATAAATACTAAATTATTTAAAGGTCGCATATTCTGATAGCATTACTCCTTATTGCAATTGCGGGTTTAGTTTTTATAAAAAATCACGAAAAGGTAATCTTTTTGGCAACTTTTGCTTCATGATTTCTTGTTTGTTTCCTCTCGAGAGACAGTTCCATTTTGGACTGTTTTCAGGCCCATGGGCCCCCACTTTTTTCTCTTTCTCTTCAAAAATCATTATCCTTCCTGTAATGACGAGAAAGCCCCTGCTTCTGACTCCATTTTGAAGGGCATTTTGATCAAGAAAAAGAAGATTCTCCTGAACAGGGTCATTACTCCAGTGTTTTGAGTCTGACAAACGCCACCCTTTCGTATCATTTTGGATGTGTTCAGAAATAGCGGCCCCCCACCCCACGGCTCCCATTAAACGACGCCGTTTTCTGACGTTCAAACTTCCTGCTCCTATAGCGTGTACCAGTAGTACCAGTACCATCCTCTTCATGTTCCCAACAAACAGTACCTCTCTCTCTCCCCTATATCATATGCATTTACAGAAAATGTTGTATTATGTGCGCTGAAGTCCACTTCTAGACCATTTTCGTATCAGTTTTTACGTTTTGTTGTAAAATCTTGAGGAATTTGATCAATGGCAATGGCGTTTAGGGTTCTACAGTGCGTTTTCTTGGTGTTGATAGCGTGTTTTCTTGCTTCAAATGCTGTTTTGGTGCGGAATTTTGAAAGCCCAGAAAAAGAACTCCTGTTTTTGTTCAAAAACTCTTTGAAGAACCCTGAAAATTTGTCTTCATGGACTGCTGCAACTTCGCATTGTGAATGGGATGGTGTTTCCTGTGAAGACAATCGAGTTGTCTCGCTCGTTCTATCGAGTCACACCCTCATTGGACCCATTTCCACTTCCATTTTCTCTCTCAGCTGCCTTACCGTGCTCGATCTATCTGCAAATCAGTTCTACGGTGAAATTTCACCAAATATAGCTTCCCTGAACGGACTGAAAATTCTGGACTTGGGGAAAAATCAGTTGACTGGAGAGTTACCGAGTGGACTGGGCGAGTTGACACAGCTACAGACTCTTCGTCTCGGGTCCAACTTCTTCACCGGACAAATTCCCTCCGAACTCGGAAACTTGGTAAAACTCTCTTCTCTTGACCTCTCTGGCAATGCCCTCACCGGAAAAATCCCACCCCATATAGGAAACTTGACTCAACTTCAAATTCTGGCTCTTGGAAATAACTTTCTCTCAGGCGCGCTTTCTACAAGTCTCTTCTCTAAACTTCAGGCTTTATCCTCTTTTGATGTGTCGAATAACTCTTTATCATCCAGCATTCCCCCGGAAATTGGAAAACTCACTTCGCTCACTGAGATTTACTTCGGAAATAACCATTTTTCTGGTCAATTTCCACCGGAGATTGGCAATCTGTCGAAGCTTGAAATTTTTTCTTCGCCTTCTTGTTTTTTCAACGGCCCTGTACCGCAAACAATCTCGAAATTGAAATTATTAAACAAGCTTGACCTGTCTGATAACCCATTAAAATGTCCAATTCCGAAAGCCATTGGTGAGCTACGAAATTTGACTATATTGAATCTTGTTGATGCCGATCTTAATGGTACCATACCTTCTGAGCTCGGCAAGTGTAAAAACTTAAAAGTCTTGCTGCTTTCTTTCAATTCTCTTTCTGGGGATTTGCCTGAAGAGCTTTCTGAGTTGCCATTGATGACGTTTTCTGCGGAAAAGAACCAACTTTCAGGTCCATTGCCTTTATGGCTTGGCAAATGGAACCAGGTAGATTCTATATTGCTTTCGAACAATCAATTTTCGGGGCGAATTCCAGCCGAGATTGGCAATTGTTCTTTGTTGAGTCACATAAGTTTGGGCAGCAATTTGTTGACGGGCGATATTCCTAAAGAGCTTTGCAATGCTATTTCACTTGAAGAGATTGAGCTTGACAATAATTTTCTCACTGGAGGTATTGATGATACTTTTGCGAAATGTAGTAATTTGACGCAATTAGTTTTGTTTGATAATCAGATAGTTGGTTCCATACCGGATTATCTTTCTTTGCTTCCTTTGATGGTTCTTGAGTTGGATTCTAATAATTTTACTGGTGTTATTCCATCGAGCCTGTGGAGTTCACAGAATTTGATCGAGTTTTCTGCTGCTAATAATCACTTAGAGGGCAGCCTTCCAATGGAGATTGGAAATGCTGCATCATGTGAGAGCATTGTTTTAAGTAATAATCATTTGAGTGGTACCATTCCCAGGGGGATCGGAAAATTGAGTTCTCTTTCTGTGTTAAATTTGAACTCGAATTTTCTTGAGGGGTCTATTCCCGTCGAGCTTGGAAACTGTACTGCACTCACAACACTTGATCTGGGGAACAATAGTCTTAATGGCTCCATTCCGGAAGAACTCTCAGATTTATCTCAGTTACAATGTTTGGTTCTCTCTTACAATAATCTCCACGGGAATATTCCCTCCAAAGTGTCAAAGTATTTTCACCAGATTTATAATATTCCTGATTCAAGCTATGTTCAGCATCACGGAGTTTATGATCTTTCATTTAACAGATTGACTGGCTTAATCCCGGAAGAACTTGGAAGCTGTGTGGTAATTGTGGATCTTCTGTTAAGCAACAACATGCTCTCCGGGGAGATTCCGAGATCTTTAGCACAGTTATCTAATCTCACGACTTTGGATCTGTCTGGGAACTTGCTGACAGGTAATATTCCTCAGGAATTTGGCAACTCTGTTCTGCTGCAAGGCATGTACTTGGGAAATAACAAGCTTACAGGCTCAATTCCTGAAAGCCTTGGTCAATTAAGTGGCTTGGTGAAACTGAATTTGACTTCCAATATGTTAACTGGTTCACTTCCAACTAGTTTTGGGAACTTGAGAGGGCTTACTCATTTAGATTTGAGCTCTAATGCACTAACTGGTGGGCTTCCTGCGTCACTTTCAAGTATGATAAATCTCGTGGGCTTTTATGTTCAACAGAACAAGTTATCCGGTCCTTTAGATGAGCTCTTCAAGAAATCCATAGCGTCCAGAGTTGAAATTGTGAACTTGAGTTGCAACGTCTTTAGTGGGTTCTTGCCAAAATCTTTGGGCAACATGTCATATTTGACACT